CCGGGTTCTCCCTGCCGGGCCCGCCCTCCAGGCCCTCGGCGTCTGCAGCCGCAGCCCTCTCCTGCCGCTGGTTTTTTTCCCCTTTCGCCTGCCGGAATCCCTAGCTGCTTTCCGTCGTGCTGAAGTGGGCCTGGAGGTTGCCAGACTGATGCCCTCTCTCAGGGTCCTCCCGAGGCCCATGACGACACCGGCTTGCTTGCTGGTTTTCTTAACGCGCATTCAGGTGTGGCTCTGCGGCCACGGGAGATGCAGTGCTGTGGTTTCTTGGTGGTAAACGCCAAGCTAGGGAGGCCTAGATTCTCCAGGTCCCTGTGTAACCTTGGTCCATGAAAAACGAAGGTGTGTTTTAAAATTCCCCAAGTACCGTCCAGCTCAAGTTGTCTTCACTTCTAGAATTTCAACACTTCGCTCCCTTACTCCAAGTGGAGCTTCCCTTCTCTCTAGTTTTCAGGGATCTTCGTCTGGTGTACCACTACGCTGTTCTATTCTTCTGTCTCTCCACCCTAAGAGAGGAAGGCCTACATTGTCGATGGTGCAGTTACTTAAAACCGTCTGATGAGTTTTCATTTCCTGCGGAGGAGGGTTTCTGTTCTTTTGACATTAAGTCCACCAGACCCTCCCCTCTTTATCTCCATTCTCACCATCTGGGCATTGACTTCCAGAACCTTTTGCTGTACCCTAGTACTTCATAGGTTTCGTGCGCCTCTATTACTAGGCACCTATTTTGCCTGGAAAGCCATTTCATTTTATAAAGTCAAACCCAAATATGTCCTTCTTTGGTTTCCTAGACCATTAGGACCTTTTATAGACATCTTTTATTACACAGATTGTATTATAATTGCCCGATAGTCTGTTAAAATCCCTACTGGATTTAACTTTCTTGAGGGCAATCGCTATGGCTTATTTTTCATTGTATTTTCAGCTTTAGGACTATACATGATTGTCCTAAATGTTCACCAGGCATTCGTAGAAGTTAATTTCAGCCACTGCTTTGTTAAACTCTGGTGTGTTTAACAGCTATGGCTGCCATGTTTCCTGTCCTTGGCCCCCTCCCCTACCTTGGGGAGGTGAATCTCCTTTTTCTCTCTAATTTACTTTATAAATAAACTGCATTGTCCAATCTCAAAAAAAAAAGAAGTTAATTTCTATGAGGAAAGAGGTAGAAGGTTCACCTTGTTTACATTGATAGTGGGCATCACTTGCTTTATAAGCTCTTCATTGAAGGCTGAGTAATGAAATCATATCAACAAGTTTATTAAACAGTAGTTCAAATTGGGTACCAAATTATATTCCATTACCTTGTTGAAATTTGCTTAGCATTGTTGATAATGTGCCACAGTGGCTGTTACTGGAGAAGTGTAAGCTTGCATATACTGTAGTCCCCTCTTATCTTTGGGGGACACCTGCCGAGTCTCCTAGTGGATGCCTGAAACTGTGGCTAGGACCCAACCGGATTGCCATCAATGGGAACACATTTCTGCCCATTTCTTTCACCCACAAATTTAATGCCTTTTCTACCTTAACTATTTGCCATGCACTGTGACAGTAACTTCTGCAGTTTCAGGTGAGATAGTAAAACAAATGGATTTTTTTCTTCGCATTTTCACAGATAGTACAATTGTTCTTACTGTAGATCCTAGCAACTTAGGCATATTATTTTTTTCTTATGAAGTTGAGAACTCATATTTTTACTTAAAGAAAGCACTTTATTGCTTCTTTTTGGCATGTCCGAATTGCTAGCACCTCTACTCTTAACTTTGGGGCCATTATTAAGTAAAATAAGGGTGACTTGAACACATGCTCTGTGATACCACAGTCGGTATGTTACCTAAAAGATTATCAGGGTAAGCAGTGTAGACAATATGAGTACGTTGGACAAAGGGTAAATTAACTTCTGGGGCAGGACAGAGAGGGATGGTGTGAGAGTTCTTTTTTTCTTTTTTTTTTTAAGTGAGAAAGCAGAATTTATTAAGAGGACAGAAAAGCTCCCACAGTGGGAGGAGACCTGAGGAGGTTGCCGGCGTGAGATTTCATAGTGCTACTCAGGTTGGCATGGGGTTTAAAACTCATGAATTTTTTATTTATAGAATTTTCCATTTAATATTTTCAAACTGAGGTTGACCACTGGTAACTGAAACTGTGGAAAGTGAAACCTCAGATAAGGGGATACTACTGTATTCATCTTCAGTACATAATTCAGCAAATTTTTTTGAGCACCATCTACTATATGACAGGTACTGCTGTATGTGCTAGGGATGTATAGAGTGTTGAACACAACAGAGAAAACCCCAGCCCCTCTAGAGCTCGTGTTTTGTCTCAGTCAACAGCAAGTGGTCCTGGGTGTGTTCATCAGTTGGTGTGAAACGTTAAGAAAAATGAAGCAGGAAAGAGGAATGAGAGAGAAGTGCAATTTTGGGTAGGATGGGCTGGGAAGGTCCCACCTAGAAGGTGACTTTTGAACAAAGACCTGAAGAAAGTAAGGAAGTAAGCCTAGGATATTTTGGAGAGGCATCCTGGCCCAGAGGAAAGCAGACACAGCCCCTAGTCTCATAGAGCGTAATTGTTGAATTAAGGTGTTGAAGAAGACTATAATAAACTGCTTAATTTGTAAGAAGTAGACTTGGTACATCACAGATTGAAACTTTTTAAAAGACATCTGAAGGTGGCATTTTAAGATTTTAGAACTTGGTCCGCAGGCCTGAAGTTTGGACTGTTTTATTGATGACTGATGTGCTCAGTTTTTTTAGTAACATCACTTTGAATAATGTAAGCTTTTGAAATCAAGAGGACAAGTTACAGAGGTAAAGGTTTTGATGGGAGAGCACTGGTCATGTTCAGCAGCAGCAGGGAAGCTGCAGTAGTTGGAATTAGTGACCAGGCAGGTTTTTTCAGCCAGGATTCTTTATCTGTACCTAAGGACTCAGCAGATAATTTGAGTGACTGTTTCCTCCGTACACCCATTCTAGGTGCATAGAGAGAAAGGGAGGGATCCTTATATGCATTGGATGCTTTAGGGCAGGAGCTTGCAAGCTCCTGTAAAGAGTTAGAGTGTAAATATTTTAGCTTTGTGGGCCATACCAAAATTGTAACAAAAGCAGCCCTAAACAACACGTAAACTGGAACGCCCTATAATTTTCACATGTTACGATATTCTACTGTTGGATTTTCTCCAATTCCTCAATGATGTAAAAATTACCCTCAGTTCTGTAGGCGACACACAGAGGTGGTAGGCCACAAGCCATAGTGTTTGGACTCCTGTCCAGGTCCAGATCTTGGGAGGCCATGTGGGGGTGTGTACTTTCTCTGAATGAAATAAGCCATTGGGGAGCTTGGAGCAAAGGTAGGCAGGGATCAAATTTAAGTTTAAAAATAAATATTTCAGCAGATATGTTAAGATTAAGGTGGAGTAGAGGATTGCCCTTCCTGGTCACATGATGAGTAGTTGCTTTCTGAGAAGATTTGAGAGGAAGGTCATACACAAGACAGTAGAAACTATATGCTTTTGAAATATAAAATTTTTATTCCATCAAAGCATTTATTTGGACTCTTTTAAGCCTAAAGTGTAGACGCGCATCAGGTTTTATATTGCCAAGGCTAATGGCAGGAAAAAACTGAGCTTCTTGGTTCAGCAAGATTAAGAATGCTTTATGTTTTTGTAAGATAAGTCCTGCTAGGGAAGGTAATCTGGGAGCCCTGCCCTAGCCAACGTGGTCGGTGGAGATATTAAGCACTGGTGGTGTCAGGTTTCCTATGCCACACACTGTGCAGGGGTCACCCTACAAAGAAAGCAGACACAGCCCCTACTCTCATAGAGCATAACTGTTGCCTTTTGTGAGTCTCCATCCTTGAATGAAGGTGTTGAAGAAGACTATAATAGGCTGCTTAATTTGGAAGAAATAGACTCCATACTTCACAAAGTGAAACTTTATTTAAAAAGACATCTGAAGATGGCATTTTTAAGATTTTTTTTTCTTTCAGACAGTCTCTATTGCCCAGGCTGGAATGCAGTAGCACGATCATGGCTATTGCAGCCTTGATCTACTGGGCTCAAGTGATCCTTCTGCTTCAACCTTCCAGGTAACTGGAACTATAGGTGTGTGCCATCACACCTGGCTAATTTTTTTATTTATTGTAGAGATGAGATCTCACCAAGTTGCACAGGCTGGTCTCGAACATCTGGGTTCAGGCAGTCATCTGTCCTCAGCCTCCCAGAGTGCTGAGATTACAGGCATAAGCCACTGCGCCCAACCTGTACTGTTGTATTGATGACCAATGTGCTCCATTTTTTAGTAACATCAATTTTATGATGTCAACCTTTGAAACCTAGAGGGCAAGTTACAAGACAATAAATAGTCCAGGTTTTTGTATTGTTATGGGAAAACTAAGCTTTTATTTTAGTTAATTATAATTATTTTTAAAGGAGTAGGACTAGTCTTTTATGTTTTTAGATGCTGAGATATTAGGTATATATTATTGTGGAGTTGCAAAATAATAGCAACTAACTTGGAACAGAGTACTGCTAAAAGTATTCCTACGGTATATAGTGACAAGTAAGATAATTATACACCCATAAGAAACCTTTCAGTAAAATGGTGCTCATGATAATATCTGTGTAAAGCACTAAATAAATATTTAGAATGTGGAAAGGAAACACTTCAAACACAGATTAGGCATTCAAGGCTAATTTGTCTTCTTGCCCTTCATGGTTTATAGGTAAGACTTTTTATTGCTTTGGAAACAGCCGTTTCTGTGTGGGAAAAAAGAGAACATGTTTAGGTTTTACAATGTAGAAACAAGGATATAGTAAAGACTGAGTTTGTTCCATGCACTGGGAAATCAGTTGTGTTTTACACCACTAGAAGGTTCAAATTCTACATGGATATCATAAATAGAAGATTCTAATACTAACAGAGTAAAATCTTTATGTAGTACTGTCTGTGGTAACAGTTTCTCTTCTCTCCCTTTATTTCTGCTTCCTTAATTCATTTCCTAATGTTTGGGTCCAGAACATGATACTTCAAAGTATGGTGCTTTGGACTAGCGAAGACTGGTAGGCCTCTGAGCAGGCTCAAAAACAAGGTCTCTCTGACCTTCTGCCCTCCTGTCTCCTGCCCTTCTCTTTTCTCCCCAGGCAAGTTATAGAAACCAGAATTCCTCCTCCCCAAGGTGGATCATAAAACGAACCCCTGTCCCCCCAAAGCCGTAAAATCTAGAAAGGTCATTCTCTCCCTTCTCCCTTCTCTCACCCGAGAGCTGTGAGCTGCCTAAGAAATCATGGAAGACCCTTGTTCCAGAGGAGTCCTGACCCATCTTGGGGAAAGAATTGCTGCACTGAGAAACCAAGAATAATCTGGACAGGCCCCTCTGGGCTCCCCTCTCATTCATACCCTTTGTCCAGTCACATTTCTATCCAGCTGTCCATTCTTCCTGGAACCTAAGCATAAAAAAGAGTTTTTCCTGGGTCTTTGAGTCTTCATTTCTAAAGGCCCCTGGGTCACGTACAACTATGATTAAGTAAATATGTTATGTTTTTTTCTTGTTGACCTGTCTGTTATAGATAGGAGTATAGTCTGTGACCCTTGTGATGAGAAAGGTAAGATCTCTCACCTTTCTGCCGCTACACCATCTTTTATTTACTGTTTTATACTAGCCCATTAGAAGATCTCTCCACTTCAGTCTTGTGCTCTTCTAGTGTTTCCTTGGTTCAGCTGGTTATTTTGGTAACTTGTAGGAAGGGTCTTTGTCTCAAACAACTTTATCTTCAGGCTAGGGCACAGTGCATGACTCATAACGAGTACGCATACAAAATATGTTTGTTGAATAAATCACATTACCCTTTCCCCCCAAACCTTCCATTTATTCCCACAGTGGCTACACTGAGTCCAAATGTCTTGTATATCAGCGCTTCTGTTCACAGGCACATTTTCTCTGTACTTGAAGCACCACAGCTTCACTTGTTTAGTCCTGCAGTTGCCCCGAATTTAAATGTCTTTCCCTTCTTTGTCTTATCATCCTTTTAACATCAGCTCTCATCTTTTTTTCCTAGTAATATTGCTTGTAAGGATTTATTTTCGTATTATAGCTAACTGTGCTATGTAAGTATATCGCTCAGCACATGATAGATCTGTTTTGAGAGATCTTATGTGTTTTTTTTTTTTCTTTTCTTCTGTGTAGTAATGAATTTGACCCTGGTCCAGGCTCTTAGGAGGTAACCTCTAAATGTCTTGGAATTTTCTAGGCATGATGGGAATGTTTTTTGTTCCTGGTGGCCCCCATAGTCTACGCTAACAAAATGACTCAGGGTGGGACTATGAGCCACATGTGGGAGTGGAGAAAACTGAAGGCTGCGTGCAGCCACATGGCTGGTGATTGAACCCATCATGCCTCTGTCATTAAACCCCTTAGCAGCTCAGAGCACCATAGCTCTGACTACCTCCCTAGGTTGACAGTGCGGTTTGAATGCTGCCCCTCATCGATGATAGGAGGGTAATATGTCCCAAAGGACTACGGAGCTTTCTGTTGGGAACCCTTCCAGAATGTGCCCTGTGGGTCGCTTCCTTTGGCTAGTTCTAACTTGTTTCTTGTTTGTTATTAAGATAAAACCGTAATCATAAATGTAGTACCTTCTTAGGTTTTGGGAGTCATTCTAGAGGATTATCCGTAGGGAGTTTTGAGGGACCTCCGGATTTGGTAGCCTACTGGTCTGAAATGAGGGTGGCCCTGTTGTTGTTGGTCGGGAGGATGGTTCCTCTAACCTTGAGCTGCTGATGTCTGGATCTGCATCCTCTTGGCACAGGGGTTTGCATGTAATCTCTGAGTAAATGATGTTGAATGGCTATTTATGCCTAAGTACGTTTGTTTATGTATTATTTTATGAAACAGTATTCATCCTTTTATGTAATATACTTGAAAATACTTGCAGTTGACCCTGGAACAGTGCAGGTTTAAACTTCGAGGGATTGATTCAGGGAATTTTTTCCAACCAAAAAATTCAGTACTGATTGAAAAATACAGTACTCTGGATGAGAAACATGTATTCAGAGAGCCATCTTTTTGTGTATGTGGGCTCCAAGTTTGCAGGGCCAACTTTGGGACTTGAATATGAGGATTTTGGTGTACTGGGGTGGGGGTGCCCTAGAACCAGTCTTCTGAGTACTGAGGGATGACTGTATTTTTTAATTTAAAAAGAAAATGATTGCAACTCACTTCATTTTCACAACTGACTTCTGGGTTATTAGTAGCAACTTAGCAAACAATGATTTGGGTTAAAATTGTTTTTCTTATTTGTTTGTCATTTATACTTTGAATACTTGTACAGTTGGTGTCAAATCACTGAACTTGGACTTGATCAGCTATTCTATATCAGGGTCTACAATTACTGGTCGATCAAAGGCATTAGAGGATAGTGTTGGCTTTTCTTTTTTCTTAGGGACAGCACGGCCCGTGTGTCAGGTGTGTGAAGCAGGAGCCAGCCGGCATCTGCCCTTCCATGAAGGCTAATGCTCTCTTTCTGCCCCTCCTTTTTTTTTTTTAAGGTAACATTTGTCGGTCACCCATTGCAGAGGCAGTTTTCAGGAAACTTGTAACTGATCAAAACGTTTCAGAGAATGTAAGTACCGTTCATTACCTTAAAAAGGCCAACCTGAATACCTTTGGGTAGGAAATTGCCAAAAAAAATCCATGTTTCTTCCCCTGCAGTGGAGGGTAGACAGCGCTGCAACATCCGGGTATGAGATAGGTAACCCCCCTGACTACCGAGGGCAGAGCTGCATGAAGAGGCACGGCATTCCCATGAACCACGTTGCCCGTCAGGTACCGTTCTTGGACTTGAAGACATGTGTTTTGTGTTTCAGTGGGTCATTGACAGCGGCGCTGTTTCTGACTGGAACGTGGGCCGATCCCCAGACCCAAGAGCTGTGAGCTGCCTAAGAAATCATGGCATTCACACAGCCCATAAAGCAAGACAGGTAGACGAGACCTTGTTTAATTTCTAATATGTGGAGTCCAGTAACTTGAGAAGTTGTGAGAGGCTTAACCAGGCTCATATATTAATGGAGGTGTTTATATTAGGGTGAGCTTAACCAGCTACAGTGTGCTCGTTTTATTTTACTTCTGGTTGCACAGTGCTGAAAGATTTGCATGATTTCAGAATTTGCTTATTAAAATACATGTGAAAGTTACATAATTTATAAGAGCACCTCGTTGGGCACTCACATTGAGTAGTGCTCTGTGTTCTATTCCTTCTTGCATAATTTTAGTTCCACTTTTAGGCTATGGTGATTATTCTGCTTGTATTACAAGTTTATTGCTATGAAAAAGTTATGCAATATATGCAGACATATTTCAGCTGTAAAGTGCCTTAGAAATATAGGGTGAAACTGATAACATTATGGACATGTAATTATAGTCTATTATACCAGACTTAAGTTTGAAGACTAATAAAGTCACAACCAAACCCTAGAGTTTCAAAGGAAGATAGCCTTGTATTTATAATGTAAATTGGAAGATGTAGTTGATTTTCCAGCAGATCCTTTTTAAATTAAGTAATTAAGAACTGACCCTTTCTGAAATGGAATTTTCATTAGGCAGAAGATTAAGCATTTTTATATCATCGGCCCATTCTGATCACTTCAGGTTTTTGCATACCTTTCCAATTTCTATTTGCCATTGTTAAAGAATGTAGTTCTTTATTTTGAGCCAGTCCTTCAGGATTATCTCACTTATACTTTCAAGTTTTTTTTTACAGTCAGATTATTTTTCATACACCAAGTACATAATACAAATGGATGCACATGAAGTATTTTAAATACATATGCCTAAAAAAAGTTGGAAACTTTTTTCCAAGAACAGTTTTAATTTCCAGTTTTGGAAGTAGTATTTGTTACAGAATCTTGTTCTTTTCCCTATTGTATTTAAGAAAATTTTCTCAACGATGTTTTGTTTTTTTTTTTAAGTACTATTAAGGCATGTTTGGTAAATCAGAATCACATTTGTTTTGTTTACGAATTCTTTTTCTTTACTAATGTCACCATTAGTGTGATAACTGTTCTTGTACATTTCTTAAACCTTAATTTTGCTAGTACTTTCAACCTGTGTTTAATAAATACAATATCTTTAGGATGCTTATTCCTTTTTAACTCTTGCAGTTAGTTTATTGAATACATCAGTTCTCAGTTCTGTTGATCAATAGAGATTTTTTTTCTTTTCTTTATTATACATTTTCTTTTTTCTGTAAACTTCTTATGGGCTTGTGCTTAGATTGTGAGTGAAACCCTGAAGTTTTTGGACAGTCATTTCCCACTTCTTCAAAGGTCCTCATTAAAAATTAATTCTTACCTTTTTAACTTGATAGAAGCAGAATTGTTATATGTCAGTTTTTTTTTGTTTGTGAGCGTCTCCATCTTGCTTATAGCGAGAGTTCATTCAGCATTGTCATTACTGGGTGCTATATCATTTCACAGTTTATCCATTTTATTCTCAATAAGTATTTGGATTGTTTCCAACTCGGGCTACTACAAATAGTGCTATCATGAATAAAGATGCACCACGTGTGTATGGTCCTATTAGACACATACCCAGCGTCAGACACAGTGTGTTGGGCTCACAGTCTTGTGATTGTAAAGCACATTGGAGATGATCCCTCTTTTTCTGTTCTCTAAAAAAGTTTGTTGAAAATTGGAAGTGTTTCTGTGTGTCATTTGAAAAAATTCATTGAATCAGTTGTCTTTTTGTTTTCTGTCATTTTTTCTGTCTTTAAATTTTTCTTTTTTAGCAGTTTTAGCATGGTAAGCCAAGTATGATCCTTGAATTTGTGGCTATCACATTTGTCAGTTTTGGAAAATTCCAAAACTGTTGTATTTTCATATTTTACTTCTGAGGTTCAGCTTACATGTGTACAAATTTTTTATGCTCTTTTCTTTTTGTTATCCTTTTAGCTCTGTTCTTCAGTCTAAAATTTTCTACTGGCCTGTTTTCTTTTTTTCTTATTTTTTGAGTTGGATTCTCACTCTGTCACCCAGACTGGAGTGCAGTGGCACACTCATGATCACCGCAGCCTCGACCTGCTGGGCTTAGGTGATCCTTCCACCTCAACCTTCAAGTAACTGAAAACACATGTGTGCACCACCACATCCAGCTAATTTTTTCATTTAATGTAGAAATGATGTCTCCTCAAGATGTCCACACTGGTCTCAGGCAGTCCTCTTACCTCAGCCTCCCAAAGTGCTGGGGTTAAAGGTGTGAACCACTGCACTCGGACTTTGTTTTCTGATGTACTAATTCTTCTACTGGTTTTGAACTGTATAAAGGGTGTCTGTTGTTTTATTTAAGTATTGTTTGTTTTGTTTTGGTTTTTTTTTTTTGTTGGTAGATTTCTGGTTTGCTGGTGAATATCTTGATCTATTTTTTTGTGAGCATACTATCACAGCTGTTTTAATAAAATGGCAATTTTGATATCTGGGCCATTTGTGAGTCTGTTTTTCTTTTCTGTTTTTCTTTTCTGTTTTCTTCTATTACTTGGTGTCTTTGTCTATTTTGTGCTACTGTAACAGAATACCTAAATCTGGGTAATTTACAAACAGTGGAGATTTATTTCTTACAGTTCTAGAGGCTGAGAGGTCTAAGTCAAGGGGCCAGCATCTGGTGAGGGCCTTCTTGCTGCATCATTTTGTGGTGGAAGATGGGCAAGAGAGGGAGAGAAGAGGCAGAGGACTCATCTTTCCATCAGGAGCCCACTCCCAGGATCATAGCATTAATCTTGAAGATCCTACCTCCCAACGCTGTTGCACTGGGAATGAAATTTCTAACACATTCAAGCCATAACATAGGACTTAAATAATTTTTAAGAATTAAGAGTTCTGCTTCTAAACTGTTCCAGATCTGTGTTCTAAGGCCTAGTCAGTGCCCAGTAGTAGCAAAATGATCTGAAGTTGGGGGCAGGAAAAGATGTGGCAGGAGTCTGCACGTTGAGGCTTACATCCTTTGTAAATACTTGACTGGAACACAACCAGCCTTGTTCTTTCACCTGAAGCATGTGGCTGCTCTTGTGTCACGGCAGCAAAGCTGCGTCCTTTTGAGAGAGGCTTTGTAACCCACAAAGCCTGCTTGTCACAGAAGCATGCTGATGACTGAAGAAGCATTTTGGTTTCTCATATGGATTTCCTAGTTGTTTTTGGTAACAGGCGATTTGACGCAAGCTATTTTATTTATGACTGTAAGCAGAAATCTTTTACTGTGCATTTGTTATGTAAGTTATAGCTGTTCTCTTCTTAGTTGTTTTAACATCTAGAATTCATCTAACAGTTACTAAGTCTTTCTTTTTACGAAAAAATTAGCCCTAAATTGAAAACAGTGTTTAATGTCAAAGCTCAGAACTTCTCACCTAACTAATTTCGAGAAGTAATATATTTACTATTATAATACTAATTCTAGATTTTGAAATAAGTGCCATGGGAATGTAATTATTAACATGCTAGATGAAAAATTAATGGAAGTTCATGCCAAAAGCCAAAGTTTCTAATTAGAAAGGTTATATTCTTTCCATCTTTCTTCTGCAGCTTATTTATGTTCTTTCTTATTCTACCATTATTTACAGTAGTCAAAAATCAAAAAATAATTTGACTTTTTTCATTTAAATTTTTTATTTAAATTTTAAGTTGGCTTATATTTATGAATTATGTCAGAAACAGTGATCAGTTTTCAGGGTAATATCAGTGGAAAATACTGAGTGGCATTCTCTTCTGTGTCAGCTTTACATGACGGCTATTCAGTCAGAGTAAAGAAGAACCGTGGATTCAGTTACTCATGTTTCCTTCTTAGTGAACCTTCTCTGACCACTCTATGAAAAACTTATCTTCCTCTCTCCCCTAGAACTCTGTATCTCCTGTCTTTCTCTTCTCCACAGCATCTGTGCCTCCTGTACGTTGTCTGTCCCAGCACAGAAGGGCAGCTCCACAGAATGGGGTTTCATTTATTTAGCTGGGTGTATGTCACTGGAGTCTGGGAAGTTCAGAGCTTGTGAGGATGAAAAACAGTAGAATAATGAAGGGGAAAGAATATGTGACATTTTAACACGAGCACAAGGTTAGATGCTGGACACTGCTGGGAGGGGATGAGGGACACACAGGGTACCAGATCCACTATCAGAGAGAGAAGGCCAGCTGGAAGCGCATACTTCACCAGGATGTAACTTATGTAGTAAATCCTCACTTGTACCGCGCAATTCCAAAATAAAACTTTTGAAAAATAAATAAATATCTAGATAATTGCATGCATTCTTTATTCAAAAATGCCTATGTTTTGGGAGTGATATGAGAGCTGTAGATTAATAAAGCTCTATTTGGGTTCTTGGAAAATAAAAAGTATGTGACATTTTAATACGTTAACTGAATTATACTTTGTTACTAAGGCACTGAAGCAGAAGTATAAACATTGTGTCTACATATTATACTATTTTATGGTTATTTCAGGGAACTTTATAATGTAAAAATTTCCTTGCAATACAATTTTGGGAAATAGGTTAATCATTTTAACTTTAAAATGCCTTAGATTATTTAATTAAATTGTTGATTAGTAATGGACTAATATAGCAGGTTTATTTTAGTACTACTTTGGCTCCTCTAGACTCGAATGATATAAACACTTTATTTTGACTTCTTATTCCATTTTAGATTACCAAAGAAGACTTCGCCACATTTGATTACATACTATGTATGGATGAAAGCAATCTGAGGTAATCATATTTTTAAAGTGTATTTCTGTTCAACTCTCAATTCAGTAATAGGGTAAGTAAATTGTTATCCAGATTTGACTTTATTTTGTTTATTTTTTAGTTGAGGCCTCACTCTGTCGCCCAGGCTGGAGTGCAGTAGTACAGTCACGGCTCACTGCAGCCTTAACCTCCTAGGCTCAGGCCATCCTTCTGCCTGAGCCTTTCCAGTAGCTGGGACTACAGGTGCACACTACCACATCAGCTTACTTTTTGTCTAGATAAGGTCTCGCTTATGTTGCCTAGATTGGTTTCAAACTCCTGGGCTCAAGCAATCTTCCTGCCTTGGCCTCCCAAAGTGCAGGGATTATAGGCCTGAGCCACTGCACCAGCCCAACATTTTTATTATGTTAAAGTTTTTATAGAGTGATGATCATAATATACAGAATTATTTATTTAGAATAGCAAAAAATCCAGAGGGTAATCTAGATTTGTCTCAGGTATTTTTACAAAGAGATACACCTTAAATAGGGGAAAATCTAATTAGCAAGATTTGATTGGAAATCTAGCTGGGTTGTGGTATGGATTTTTTTATCAGGATGTATTGTTCCACGTGAGTGATTTTGTCACTGTTGTAGTGATTCATGGACAGGATGGTGTTTTATTGTTTCTCAATGCCAGAGGTCTGCATGCCAAAGCACTTCATTCATAGGTTTAATATTATTACTCCATCTTATCAAAAAAGAAATTGAGGAGCAGTGAGGTTAAGTTACTTTCCCAAGTTCAGCGAATTAGTGGGTGGATGTAGGATTTAAGCCTAGTTTTAGTGAAACAGAGGCATACACTTCGCTTGCCTGTCCTGACTCATGGCACCATCAGGAACTCATCATAATCCAGTCTAACTCCAAGAATTTACTAACTTGCATCACTGCTAATTCATAAATACTTCATGTTTTTGATGAAGGGAAACTATTTGTGCATTATGTAGGAGTGAGTAGATAAGGATGCTGCAACAGTTTTAATTATTTTTTATCAATTAGGACCTTCATTAAAATGTATAAATTTTCCATTTTTATTTTTCAGTTCTTGTTCTGTTGTCATTTTTCTCATTTACACCACAGCTTATAAGTATTGTAAAAAAAATTGTGTTGACTTTGTATGCTTTGGCATTGAGTACGGTGTTTGGAGCAAGTGGAGTTCCTCTGGCCTCAGCTTTTGCACATGCTGTTCCCTCTACCTGGAAAGTCTTCCTTGCTGCTTGGGCTCCTTTCTCTCCTTCATGGTTCAGCCTAAATTCATTTATTTATGGAAGTATTCTGGTACCTTCTCACCTAGGCCAGATTGCCCTTTAGACCGTGAGGACTCTCTTCACTTAATTCTTGTCTCCACACCTACCCCTGCTTGGTAGCTGTTGACTGTTTCATTCCCACATAAACCACATGCCTGTCTCGTCACAGATGCTTGGCTGAAATTTGTTCAATAGAGGACTGATGAAAATAGAGCTTAGCTAAGTTTGCCTTCTTTCCTTTGGGGCAATGTGAAAGCTAAAGGTGGAGCCATCAGGAGAATGGAGCTGAGTTTCCAGCTTGGGCAGAGACTTGAGGAATAAAATAAGGAAAAATAATTAAGTAGTGAAGCATGCTACATGGCATGCTGTGTCAAGATCTCTCAGGATGGAATTAGTAGCCCTTTTTCTTGTGTCTTGGTTCACATGAGTTTTTGAGTTCCTTTCTGTCACCTTTAACTCTGAAACGGTATCTTTTGACTGATTATCTTGAAACATGTTTCAGAGAAAGCATAATTATTGTATATACTGTACAATGTAATCAGTGAGAATATGCTGCTGTTACTAGCTCTTTTGCCTAAGAGACAGATCAGTGGCATACAGCTGCAGGAAGGGTCATACAGATCTGCTGAGTATTCTGTTTCATTTCAAATCAGGTCACTTTTGCTGAATTTTGATATGGATGTTTCATAAAACCCTAGCAGATGTTCCTGTTTAACTTGAAACCGTAGATCAGAAAACTAAGTTCATGTTTCAATTTTACAGAGATTTGAATAGGAAAAGTAATCAAGTTAAAAACTGCAGAGCTAAAATTGAACTACTTGGGAGCTATGATCCACAAAAACAACTTATTATTGAAGATCCCTATTATGTAAGTACGGTTCACATTGTAGGGCTAATGTAAAGATTCAGCATGTCTGTATCCTGCCATATTAAATAACAGGTTAAGTTTCTCTTAAGAACATTTTTGTTATGTGGATTTTCCTATGTTTTTCTTTTTCCTGTCCTTTTAGGGGAATGACTCTGACTTTGAGACAGTGTACCAGCAATGTGTCAGGTGCTGCAGAGCATTCTTGGAGAAGGCCCACTAAGGCTGACCATGTCCTGATGTAGCCATCCTCTAGACCCCACTGATGCCCTGCATTTCTCAGTCAGCGTGCTAAAATATAATAATTTTCCACAGTCCAAGGCCCCAGCTCTTTCTTCAGCTCACTTACTGTTTCTTACCTTAAAAAATAATGGTAGATGGAGATCCGTTATGTTTGGCAGAAGAATAAATAAAAATCTTTGATTAAGACAGTTTATGGGGTATGTTAAGCATTCTGAGACTATTTGAATCTCTCACTTTGCCTCAGTTACAAAAATAGTGGGACAGGCAACATATATAACAACAAAATAAAGCATAATGAAGTAAAACATCATTTGACCCAGGTCAACACCTCAGCCTTGAGGCTTAGATAATCTAGTCTACCTCTTCAGTAGGTTTGTGTGGATGGCTTGATGGACAGGTGCCCTCTGCTCCCCTGTGCTGCTTCTCTCTTTGTCCTGGAACCTTTTATGGAGAGAAGTAGCCCCCTCTGTAGGAGCTCATAATCTAAATAGGAGTGTTTTAATTCATGCACACCCATTTGCACACTTGTATGTGTAAGAAATAGGAAAGAAAGATTTATGGTCTCAGTTTTGAACACCTTTAAAACTTCTTGATTTGGTCTAGTTTATTTCATGAGGAGGTCGACTCATTTGCTCCTATTTGTATCACTTTCCCTCTGAAAACTTACTTACACCCAGAAAAGACACACTTACACCCAGAAAGGACACATTTATGCTGGCTTAAAACATAGCATTGAGGAATGTGTCTTTTTTTTTTTTTTTTATGTACTTGTAGCCCAGATGTCAAATATAAATTGGCTTAGGTGGGAAAAAATAATTTAAAAGTTGGAAAGAGTTGTATTTTGTAGGCATGCTTGAATACTGATATGTTAAGTATTCTTTCATGAGCGTTTAATAAATTTATAGACAAATATAGGTAGTTTTTGTGTACTTTGAAGTAACCAATGTGAAATTCATATGGACGTATGTCAGAAAAGATTGTTTTGAAAACAAACTGGGTAGTTCTAAAAATACAACTGAGATAGGAATCTGGTGTCTGCCTACTTTTTATTTACAAATGAAGAAACATCTGAGAACATTGTCTGTGTTGTCCTTTTCAAATGATCTGTGATGTTGTATATGCATATTTATCTTCAGGATTAGGAAGCAAGATAATGAAAATAAGCACATTGCCAGCCCATATAATAATGTTTAGTTTATGAAAAGAAGTTTGAGTTCCCTGCAGCTGGAAATGTCCTTGCCTACACCATCCTCTGGACTCAACATCCCCCAAGCTGAGCCCTCCTGTTTAGCTCAGCAGGGGAGGGACAGTTTGCTGTGCTCTGTCTAGATCCTCTGTTCCTTGCTGGTGACCTTAGCTCCTTGGAGAACTTTTAGTTTAAAAAAAGCACTTCTCATGCAAAGGCTGAATGGATCATTGCCCAGAAGACAGGAGAGTTGGAGGAATGAGTGATTCATGACTGCCTGGTCGAGGCATTTGTCCTCCTGACTTTAGTATCATAAGGGTTTCTGGTGGTGGTGGGGAGGAGGGAGGTGATGAGCCCTTGATTTACTGCCCATGAGAGTGTGAGTAGCTTTCCCCACTGTGACACATGGAAGGACCATGATGACCTCACAGGAAGACAGTTTGCTAACCAAGTGAGCCTCACTCCTGGTAGAATTACTCAGACATACAGAAAATTTATAAGGGAAATCACTTTGGTATTTGATCACTGTATCCCTAACATGTAAAGAATTGAGAAGACTGATCAGCTGCGATTGAAAAAACAGTATTAAATAAGAACACTATAAGGTTATACTCTGTCTTTGTTTGGTAATTGCTTTTAATAATACTGGAGTCAGAATTTCTTACTCTTTTCTGTTCCTTTGTGTTCGTAAATAAAATCTTATGTGGTTTTCTTTAATTTTGGCCTCTATAAATATAGGTCCTCAAATCACAGGACTCTTATGACTACTTTGTCCTTATGACTGTATTCAGACTAATATCATTTGTATATAAGGGCTCAGATGAACAGAGAAACTCCTGCTTTACTGCATTTGACTTTTTAAACTGGTTCCAATTAAATTTGTTTAAAATGTTTCTACCTGTAAAAATCTGGGACTGTAAGACTTCAGGTTCCTCTTAGCATTTTCATGATTACAAAATCACATGGGAAATGGTGGATACAATCTTATTTGGAATATTTACTACCAAATCAGGGCCTATCTTAAGACACTATGTTGCCTACTGTATTACTGTAGTAACTTTCAAAAGAAATGTTGATTATCTTTGCAGAAATTCCTAGGCTTGAAGTTTCATTTATTGATGCCTTTTATATTCTGTGACATCCTGCCAAAGTAATGATCTCTTGGTAGATTTGTAAATCATGAATACTCAACAGTGAACTTGTTAGAGTGATAAAGAGTCACTTTGAAGACTATTCATTATAACAAACACTTCATTTATTACTTGTGTTTACAGTATTTACATATTGCACAATAGCTGGAATACTATTTTACATTTATTATACAAAGGACAAATGGAATTAGCCTGGATAAATTCACAGATTTACACTGTACTACTCTAAAATATGACTGAATTTCTTTTTCATGCCATTCCAAATAATACTCTGGGGATTGTAAAAGTAATACAAAATATCAAATCATACCATATGCTATATGAAAATATAGTTTAAGATTCTGCCTATGTTTCTAAAGAAATATTCTTTGTGATTTCACCTAATCAGAAAAAATGAAATATTCTGTCTTTATTTATAGCTCTGCACATCCAATGTGGAGCATTCTCTTTTGTTTTGTAAAATAAGGATCACCTTCAGGTACACTGATTTACCTGATATATATCTGCAAACAGTGTCAACATACAAAACTCAAAGAAACTATGGAAGAGTCTGTCTGCAAAAATAAACCTCTTGTTCACAAGGAGATGTGTATAAAGATAGTAGTTCTGTTTCCCTGTTGGTTTCCAAGGCACTTCTCATGGCTCCTGGTGTGCTGTTCCTGTGCAGCTCTGCTCACTGCTGAAAACAAAGGGACTCAGTGTCATATGGCCGTTCACACATCAGTTCTAGAAGATTTGTCACTAAATTGCTGAACATAATGTATTTATCAACATAAGGGATCTCTGTGCAGGTACATTTCTCTGTATCCCAAAAAGTATAGTCTTTTATTTTGAAAAATAACAGTTTTGCAGTTAGTGTCTGCTATACTAAAGGAATGAAAGTCATAAGTACATTATACATAAATACATGTAAGTGCTTATTAAAGTTTAAGGAACAGTGCTTAGTCTAAGTGTGCTGTCAGAATCCTCAGTGATTCATTCCACAATGATTTCAATTTGTGGCAATTCTGGGACAAAGCTGGATTACCTTACACCTCATTGCTTACAAGGGTTAGCAAAGGTAGTAAGATTAATCACCATTGTTACTAGTACTCCATAGTAGACTATCTACTGGTATGCTTATTCTGAAAAGATTAGGCTGCGTATGATAGACTACATTAGTTACTCATCACTCAAAATTACATTTCTTAGAGAATATCCCAGAGCTCAGGCTTCCTGTTTAACTGACCTGTTAAGTCCAGACAATGAAGTGTGTTGGTGACTATTAGGGTAGCTGAGAACATAAAGTTTCTCTTTGTTCTGAGGAGGAGGTCAGTTAATGCACTTCAGAAAGGAGAAAAATGAGTTTGCTCTGAGATGGTGGGTGCAGAGCCGCCTCCTGCTAATGACCTGCTTGTCACTTGCTCTCAGCCGCTAAGAAGACAAGGCTATGGTTTGGGGCTGGGAGGAGAATTTATTCTGTAGCCTGATCCTGTCATCTTCATATGTCAGGACAGAAATGGCATGTGGCCAGTTGTTAACCAGCAGAACAGACTGCAGGGTCCTCCCAATGCCACATCAAAGGGCTGTTGGCGCTGTGGAATGTGTGCCTTACCTTCCACAGTGCCTCACTAATGTATGCAAAGTTGCAGAGAACCTCTGGACTGTACCTACACTGTGGTAACAAGCCTGTTAAGAATATGCTCTTATGGCTTAAAACTTTTGGAATCAAAAGGAGTTAATCTTGTTAAAAGTGAATATATACTGTAAATATATAATCATAAAATTCTATTTTATATGTAAAATATATACTTATGTCAGTTTACAGGAATACTGGTGTTTTAAACTTTACCCATTTCTTGGTCAAAATCACCCCAGTTACAGTTGTGTCAACTGTGGCTGTCAAGCAGGTGGCCTTGAGAACATATGCCTTATTCCTGCTAACCTTTGTCATCCAGGCAGCTTCTGATTTTGGTGGTCCAGCATGAGAAAGTGATGCCAAAGTGGTGTTAATTATCAAGGCCATTCCCAAGGCATGTCCACCCACACGCTTGGGCTTTTCCTTTACACCTTTCTTATGAGGCACATCTATTGCTACATCTGGTAGAGCTCATGTGCCCATGCAGAGACTGATGCAGGGGCAGTTCCACATGTGTAAGTCCCACTGATAAATACCTTGCCCTTTGGTTTAGCTGCACCTGTCTCCAGGAGCGGAGGATAAGCAGGTGGTCATCTAACAGGCTTGTGGACTGAGTAGCTCTTTCAGTGCTTGGAGTGATAGGGCATTCATTCTCTTGTAAGTAAATGAAAGATTTTTTTTTTCCAAGGATGTGGCTTTTTCACCTCTGGAAACAATGATTTAACTGTAATGAAATACTTAATACAAATGATATTCTCATCTCCCCTAGCGTATCACCTTGGGTGACTTGCAGGAATACACATCCATTTAAAAAGAAAAAAGTCTTTTGTGTGCCACACAGGCAGTTGATGAGAAACTGAAAAGCATTAGAATGAAAAAGGAAGTGAGGGAAGTTGCTACATAACATTTCTCAGCTTTAACTGGCATTGACACCATGCCTCCTCTTCCTCCAGAGATAGCATGGTGAACCCATGCAAAATAGGGTCACTTCATTTCTCCAATGTCCTTTCTCGCTTGTTAGTAGCAGTTGATTTTGTTGGGGGAGACAGTGCTGAAAATGCAGAAGGACCTGCAGTGCCTCAAGCCGGTGCTGGCACTATGCACCAATCTCTGCAACTGCCTAAATATTCATAGCACTAGCCTTTCCATAGAGAGTGTGTCTGTATAAGAAAGAGTGCTACTCTCCATTTCACGAGACACACTAGAGTACCCACTAGAAGGTCACATTCCCTTTTTATTAAGTGTTTTCTGGACAGCCATCTGTGGGCAGGAAGCAAGTCTTAACTAATGATGATGTACCCAGTGCCTGGCAGGACCCCACACAAGATGAACAGTAAGTCTATGATTTGGGAAGGTGATGTTTTGTCTTGCCGTCTAAAGTGACTGAATCCTGTGGCATTTCTGTCAGGAAAATAAACCATACCTTCCAGTCCATTAGCTGACTACAGCATGTCTGGTAGTTGGCATTACACGTTACATACCAGCCCTCAAGGGGCTAAGGTACAAAGTATAGTACATGAGCTTGATGTGCACTTGTATTTTTTTTTTTTTTTTGAGTTGGAGTCTCACTCTGTCACCCAGACTGGAGTGCAGTGGCCGCTCCCGGCCACCGCAGCCTCGACCTGCTGGACTCCGGCGATCCTTCACCTCAGCCTTCCAAGTAGCCAGAATTACAGGCATGCACTACCATACCCGGCTGATTTTTTGACTTTTTGATTTGATTGTAGAGATGAGGTCTCGCTGCCCAGGCGGGTCTCAAACCCGCGGGCTCAGGCAATCCACTCACCTCAGCCTCCCAAAGGTGTGGGATTACAGGCTGAGCCACCGAGCCCAGCCACTTGTATTTTTATTATTAGAGGTTATGAAAAAAATAACACACTGATAAAGACATTTAGAGAGGACAGCTATTTTTTTTTTTTTGGGAGTTGGATTTTTACTGTCACCCAGACTGGAGTGTAGTGGTCGCTCCCAACCACCGCAGCATCGACCTGCTGGGCTCCGGTGATCCTTCCGCCTCAGCCTTCCAAGGAGCTGGAACTACAGGTGCGTGCTACCACACCCGGCTGATTTTTTGATTTATTGTAGAGATGAGGTCTCGCCTGCCCAGGTGAGTCTCCAACCCGCGGGCTCAGCAATCCACTCACCTCAGCCTTCCAAAGGTGCAGGATTACAGGTTGAGCCATCGAGCCTGGCAGGACAGCTATTCTTTACGAGCTTACTGCCATAATAGTGGACTCCAACTCAGACACTTACCAGACGTGTCATTAAATTTGAATGGATGTGGCTGGTCATACACTTAAGAATGTTAGTGAATGAATGAAAGCCTGTAAGTACACAGGCAGAATTTTAAGCCTGTGCCCTTGTCTGTGCACCCAGTGCTAGAGTTAGCCAATGTGCTATTTCAGGGAAATGTATTCAGTGCTTACTGTGTTATAGCATGGACCACTTATGATGGCTGCCTGGGCACTGTGGACAGGCCAGGAGGGAGCAGCTTTCATCTGTAGCCAGTATTCTGAGGTGACAGGAGTGCTGTGTCAACCTTGAGGTAGCATGGCTACCTCAGCCATAAACTCTCATGGGTTTTCCAAGCCCCATGCGAAACTCTGTCTTCAGCGTGTGCCCCATCCAGTGTGACTGCCCTTGCTTACCTTGTCCTCCATGCACACGGGGCTGACAGCCAGCCGAGTAAGAAGCCTGGCACATCTTTTGTAGTCTGTAGTGAAAATAAACCACAGACCTTTGTCAGTTACTTGAACAACACTTAAATAAATAGCAGTTGTTTGCAAGTATCTCAACTGCAAAAGCCATTTATTTCTTTATATTCTGAATTCCCTGGAAGCAACACGGAACCTGTCATCTGCAATCATGGGTTCTAAGTCGTTGATTTAATAATTTATGTACTTCAGGGCTTTAGCTTCACATAGCAGCTATGAGGAGAAAGGGCAGACACAAAATGGGGCACAGCTGAGGTCGGGCTGCCCATTTTCTTCTTGCATGGAAGAAACTTATTTCCCAGGTTACTTTTAAGTTATATGCTGCTAAGCCTCAATTTGAGTTAACTATGACAAAGACTTCTGCATGTAAATTCTAAAGAAAGTAGGAGTCAAGCAGTGGAGCAGAGACCTGGATTGGGTGACAAAAGGAAGCAGCACGCAAATTTCAGAGTGCAGACTGATGTTCTTTGGTACCTCACATGGTTTCCCATTCCATTATTTGGATAGGTGCTACCTCAGAGAAAATAAGTGGGAGGATTTAATGAGTATGGCCATAAGGAATTTCTCCAGGATGAGGATCTGTGGAAAGCTGCAGTAGTTTCTAAAGTACCACAGTTTATTTCTCAAAATTGACAAAATTTTAAAAATGGAGTTCATATGTAACTGAAAATCCGAAATCAACAACAATAAATCTTCACTGTATGTTAGATAAGTAGCTATCTCTTTCCAAAATTATAATTTCTAAATATAGTGCATACCGTTGGGGTTCAAAGGGGAGAAAAATGATCTCACAGCTGGCATCTGGGTCACCTGAATTCCTGACTTTGTTGCTCTTTTTCATAAGTAGCACCGTATGTTTTAGAATACGGTTTTCCTACATAGACTACATATCATCATAGAAGCAGTGGGTTGTGAGGGGCCAAGGGCTGATCTAATCAACGAATTATAAATACTTGCACTTCCAGCATGTCTAGGATCGCAGTCGATCACCAGTCCCACTCAATCTAAATTTCTCGAGCAGTGTCTCTCAAACAGTATGCACACCGATCATCTAGAGATCTTATTAAAATGCAGATTTTGTTCAACAGGTCTGGATAGGACTCAGTCCTGAATTTCCAGCAAGCTCCTATGGAACCACACCTTGAGTATGGAGGCTCTGAGGTTCCTTTAGGTGTAACTCTCCAGGATTCCAGGGATTTTCTTTGATGCAACAAAAAGCGACATCAAAGTGGTCCAGCTTCAACTCTCCAGCTCTTTATGGGCTAAGAGGCAGAAACCACCTAAGTAGCCACACATCTATGCAAAGTCTTTCAACCTTCCACCTCCCCATGGCCCAGGGTGAGCTGTGATCAGGAGTGTGAGTAGAATGCATCTGAGTTGCTATGAGCCAAAGGAAGTATCCAGTGCGGGCACAGCATGGCTTCCTGGAAGAGGGTCTGCAGAGTTGAGCATGAGACCTTCCTCCTAGCTTTGCTGGTAACTGACAGCACACAAGTCATTCCTCCTCCATAAGTGAGAAGATGAGATGTGATGCCCAGTTTATGATCTTATTGTAAGACAACATTTAATATAAGATCTATGCACATTTAAACAAAAACAATGGCAAAGTTCTCTGATCCCAGGAAGCAGGTTAACAACTCTGAAACAGAAGGTGATTCCATTTGAAAAGAAAAAAGGGCAGTAACAGTTTACCAGGTCCATATGGCATGGAGGGAGGGTAGGTCAGGTCTTGATGGTGCCAGCTGGCGCATGGCCAGGGGCTGTGACTTTTGCCTGTCTCTCCTTGGTTGTGTGAGAAGCCGAATGTGCATGTGCCTCAGCTTTGTGGGAGAAGTGCTGGGTGATGCCATCAAACGGGGCTAAAGTTCACTGGTTTATGCCTGGCACTTAGAAGCAGTCCTATAAATGATGGCTGTTGCTATTCAGAGTAACTTTGCTACTTCACAAAGAAAACACCTACTTCATGAAAATGGGCTCTGTCACCCTGGACAGTCTTAGCAAGATTCCTGGTGTACCTGCATGACTTTTCCTGTGAGCCTTGAATTAAATGAAAGTTGTGGTCCTAATTTTTAAAAATGGCTTAGAGCTCTGTCACACTGGCTAAGTCATTTGTTCAATGTTTTGTAAAGAGCACTAGGAGCCACTTTGGGGGAAAGTCTGCTTTATTCTAGACAAGCAGCCAGAAGCATGTTGAGAATGAAAAGACCCTTCCAGGAGAGAAAACTACAGCTGAGAGAAGACTGACAGGCAACTTGAATTTCTGAACCAGTGATGAAGCCAGACAGAAAAACAGAATTTTGAAATAGCAATAAAATTCCCAGGGGATGAGGTCATAATTACTGATGGAAAGAAAATGTTCTTGGTCAGAACAATGGAAATGGTCAAGAAAGTTCAACTACAATGGTCCAAGCCAGTCCTTTTTTTTTTTTTTTTTCCTGGAGTCTTGGTCTTACTCTGTCTCCCAAGCTGGAATGCAGTGGCACAATTATGGCTCACCACGGCATCAAACTCCTGGACCCAAGTGATCCTCCTGTCTCACCTCCCGCCCCTCCCCCCACCAGCTGGTACTACAGGCATGCGATAACACACCTGGCTAATTGTTTTAAAAAATTTTTAAATCTTTTGTAGAGACAGGGTATCACTATGTTGCCTAGGCTGCTCTTGAGCTAAAACAATCCTCTTGCCTCAGCCTTCCAAAATGCTGGGATTACAGGCATGAGCCACTGAGCCCAGCCTCAGTCTGGTTATTTACACCCCAGGGAATAGCACTTGGCAGTCCTCATTTCAACTCACTCTTGACATTGGTACGACTGCCATCATTGACTAGATACAAACACAGGCAAAAAGGGATATGACAGGCAAAAAGGGATATGCAAGCAAAAAGGGTTATGAATCGAACAGTTCAGCTCTTCCCAAAAGTTTGTTTTAGTTAGGCATTAGCTGATGCAGTGTTTAGTTCTCTTCTTCAGTGACCATCCTGGCCCCAACTCCACAGTTCAGAAGGAACAGACACTAACGCCTATAGTTTAGAAGGCAGGGGCCTATTTGATGAAATGGAAGGATGTGAGAACCATTGTCTACACTGTGCTGGCGTTTATGAAGAATTTTAAAGCTGTTACTTACATGCTGGAATGGTGCAGTCTCTGGTGTTGTGATAAAGCCTATGGAAGTGTTTGCTGCACTTTGGACTAAAATAAAGAGGGCCTGGAACATGGAAAAAGAAACAAGTCGTGAAGATTCACACAGTGCAAAAGAGCTCAGGCAGAGCTGAGGAATGAGAAAACCTACCTGTAAGGTGTTTCAAAAACTTGTCCTTCATCCTCAGATCTCGAGGAACAATTTCTGTTTCAGGAAGAAAAAGTTATGGTATTACCTGAATGAAGCATTTAAAAATACATGATCTTAGGTGAATGTTGAAGGAAGTTACTGGAAACTCTGCGTTAACCACATTGAATTGGACTAAATAAAACATTGGCTCCCTCTCACTGCATATGACACAATGTGAAGACTTACACTCAGGGGCATATTCTTCACATAGCAAAACACCGCTACTATGCCTATTCCCCACCATTAGGATAGAGACCAAAAAGTTACAGCGTGGAGAAAGCTGTGGTTTTTTTGTTGATTTGTTTTTTAACAGTTAACTTTGCCACTTTCATTATGAAGATCTTGGGAACCAAGTCTACAACATTTGAAATCCTACCTGATCCTTCACACAAAATATTCATTATGGAACATTACTCGTTCTAGGTAAATATTTAGAAAAAGGATTAAATGACTTTAAGACCACCTGATAGCAAGACCAGTGTAAATGAGTGTAAATATACATTTACCTGGTTTATGAGATAAAATTCCTAGGGAGACACTCCCAAGCAAAATTCTACCACCACACATCTTTGCCCAGAACGGCCAGCGATGGTCCCGCTGACATACTGATTTCATCCTCTGTTTTAGCTTTTTTGCAGTCATCTGTAGCCATCTTTCACTCCCTAGTTTTGGATTAGTGACGAACTCTGGCTGTGAAGTCACACTACCTTACCAGAAACACTGCTTGGCTCCTCCAACAGGGAACATCACATCCGAATCTTACGCTTGGAAGACTGAGACATCTCTCCCTCATGTCAGTCTTCATTTGCTCCTAACTTTAGGCAGTCTATCTAAAACTGACCTTATCATATTTGACCCAATTGTGTCACAAAGGCATTAGAAGCTTACATGCTTTCCTGGGAAATTCCCCATGGGGCAGCCACTCTGGTAAAGACTCCGCCATCAGAACCTCTGAGACCTTTCTTTCTCAGTTGAAAATGCTTTGCTGAAAATACTTTGCTGAAAATACTTCCACTTCCAGAATAATAGATGGCAGTTCCGCGAGGAAATGACTGACCTGGGCAACAGGTCCCACATGCCAGGCAGGAGTCGACCAGGAATGGTCACACCTGCAAGGCCTCACCTCTACTGTTTCTCTCGGAAAGGGAAATCCTAGCTTCCAAAAGCTGATCAAAACTCACTTCGCTTTTTGAAACGTGTTTCTCAAAGGCAATTCTATTTCCTGGCAAACACGCCCCTGTCGTGTCCCAGGCGCGACGGCGGCCGCCACTCACCCACTCTCTGCTCCTCGGGCGAAGGCCCGAAGCCCGCCGCCTCCTGGCAGCGCCGAGTGCAGTCCTGCGCTCCGAGGAGCGGCAGCCGCTTGGGCTCCCCCGAGTGATACTTCTTAAGTTCCTGGACGAGCTCCATGATGAGGCGCAGCAGCGTGTGCCCGTCCTCGGACTCCCGGAGCTCCGCGCCCCCACAGCCGGGCCGCGCAGCCCCCAGCACGAGCA